TGTCAGATTCCTCGCATCACCTTTCAACATCTCGTGGAGTCACGAGGCGGACCAACAAAGTCATCTCGTGGCCCAACGAAGTACTGATGGGGTGGTCATAATAATCTGGTGTGTGTGTGTGTGTGTGTGTGTATATATACATACATACATACATTCATACATATACATTCCTAAAATGTACATAGCCCTGACAAACAGCACAACCAGGTTGTTGGCCATACTTTTCTCTGCTGTAGTTAATGTGACAGCAAACTCGGGAGTTACATCTTGAAAATGTATTCAAGTACCCTATTAACAAAAAGTTATTTACCTTATTTGTGTATCACTCAGATGTAGATCCTCAAATCGTCTCTGAATTGGTGCCGACACTGTCCTTCCTTCTGGAGGGTGGCTACTTTTCGTGTGTGTGTTGTAAAGTAGCCACCGCTCCAAACTTGCTTTCATGATGGACTAAAATCTCAATACAAATTAGTAAACTAAATGTGAGATTGTAGTCCATCATAGGGAAAAAACATACCCACCTTCCAGAAGGACGGACAGTGTCCGCATCAATTCAAAAAGCCAAGTGATACACAAATAAGGTCCAGTTTTGTTAAATGTTAAAAATGCATTCAGGTACCTTAACCATTGAGTTTTAGTGTAATTTAAAAAAAATACTTCTAGGTCACCTTCCTGTACCCAGCCTATGATCGGACAATGAAGGAGGAGCAATGGACTGAGGAGGCCATCACTCTGCTCCATTTATCAGCATGTTTGCAGTCAGCAAATGTTCAGCAGGCACATCTGATTAGTGCTTAGTGCTGTTCCCACTATACTAGCTTTGCGTTTAACAGGGGATACCAACAAGGCTGAAACCGGGACAAATTCAGGCACATCTATAAGTTACATGTAGACCTCATTCACACGGACATTAACAGCCATACAGCATGCACATCCTTGCTGATACAGTACCTGCACCCAGGAGGCCTCAAAAATAAAGTGAATTATTTTTTTATTTGATAAATACCTAATTAAAATAAATCTTTATCTGCCCAGAATGTAGCTTTTATTTAGCACTCTAACAAAAAACTGTAGACAGGGCCAGATTCCGCACAAGGCCATCGAGACCATGGCCTCAGAGTGGCAGGGAGTAAAGAGGCCTGTTACAGACCCATTGCTATAACACAATCCTGCGTATCCAAACATTTTATTGCCGCATTTCTTGGCATATTAGGGTAATAAAAAATTAAAAAAATACTAAAATCAAAACAATATATAACAAAATATAAACCTATAACACACACACACATATACATATATTACCCATTTATATTGCAATATATACATATACATATGTTATAGCTTTTTATTATTCTTATATATTATTTCGATTTTAGTACTTTTTTTCTTTCTTTTTATTACCTTAATATGCCAAGAAATGTGGCAATAAAATGTCTGGACCAGCTGGATTGAGGATACAGGATGTAATACAGGATTTTATTACAGCAATGGGTTTATAAAATGTCTGGACCCACACATTCGCAGTAGCATTTAAGATTTCTGGACTCCCTTCACGCGCCGGAAGTCCAGACATCTCACAGGGTTCGGACAAGTGATAGAACACCGGCACAGCACAGGACAGCCCCACACCCACCAGCATAGCCCTGGAGAGCCCAGCAGCCACATGCAGAGCCCTAGAGAGCCTGGCACCTGCCCACAGAGCCCTGGAGGAACCTGGCAGCAAGAGAGTAAATTCGTCCCAGACTGTAAAATGGAGTTGGCGGCGATGAGGGTAAGTTTCGGCAGCTGGTTTGCTTTTTTTAATGCAGGCAAAGCTGTATGTGCTTTCATTTGCATCCAACATGAGGGAAGACAGTCATTAGAAAGTCAAAACAAACACAACCAAATTTCCTGGCATTCTCTGCGCTGAACATCCTGGGAAAAGAGTTCTAGCTTGTTAAAAAAAAAAAAGTTTGTGTTGCCTAGAGAATGAGGTGCCAGACTCCTTCCAGTGTTGGTTATCTGTAGTGATGAGGATGGGCTTTGCGTGATCCCAGTCCATCCAAGCCTGCTTAAAATTCTGATTGCCACCTCCTGTTCCCATTCCAATCAGTTGTGGGGAGGTGCATTCACCACCCGACAACTATGTCACAAGGTGGCAGGGAATGTGCCCAACGCAACAGCCTCCACTGATTAGGTCAGGAGGAGTCAGAGTTTTGAGCGGGCTTGGGCAAACTAGGTTCGCACCAAGACCAGCCTCATCTCTAGTTATGTACATGAAAACGCCGGAATGTGGTGGTTTGATCCCTGCTGAAAGGAAGGATCAGAGCAAAAATTGTCTAATCCTTCCCCTCAGCACAAATAATGTCATTGTCTACAATTTCTGTATGTTGGCAGCACTGAAGAGAACCCTGCAGCCATTCTTTCTCCAGGAAAAGCATGTATACATGCCCTGTTACTCTTGATTAACTATCCCAGGAAGAGCTAGCGTAGCTTCAAGTTTACATTTCAGTATGAATCCTCAAAGCACAGTTGCAATATTTACTGGACAGCCCTAGAAAATTGATCAACATTTGTTGCCTAGATTGGTTCCTAAAGGAAAATTGTAGTTTGTAGCTGCAGAATAAAATGAAATGTAACCTGTACCTTTGTGTAAGCAGTAAATTCCCACAGTAGCATGCCCAAGGCCAACACAGGGTTCACTGATGCCAGTATGCCGTGCCTCTCTCCTTAGTCAAAAGGCCAGGTCTATGTCCTATTGGCCACTATAATTTATAATCTGGCCTTTCTCTTACCATCCTGAGCTCTGCTATTGTAGATTGTAAACCCTGCACCTGGTCACTCTGGGCATCACAGGCCAATAATAAGCAAAACCTACCAGGTTGAATTTCATTTTATGCCGCAGAGCTTGAGGGCTGCAACAAAAATGTAAAATGTTTTGTAATATAGCTGCACTTATCTACAGACTGGAGTAGGGCACAGATACAACAGAAGCAATGAGTATCTGTGAAAAGTAACCAGTTAGACCAGGGCTAGCCAAACTCGGGCCCTGCAGCTGTGGTGAAACTACAAATCCCATGATGCATCTCTCTCCGGGAGTTATGTCTGTGAGAACCTTGCAATGCCTCATGGGATTTGTAGTTCCACCAAAGCTGGAGGGCCAGAGTTTGGCTACCCTTGGGTTAGACGTTCCTTTCCTCTTATAAAACTTATCCTGAAAAGGAATACAATAATTTGATTGGTGGCTGTAGGCAACATCACCTTTTACCTGGAACAGGTCTCATAAATGTCCACCACATTCTACAGTATGGTAGGTGTAGATGAGCAAGTTAAACACCATGAAATGTTCAACTGAGAATTAAGTCAGTGCAAACGTGTGTAAAAGGACAGTGTCCACAGGTAGCAGAGAATGAATAGGACCGTTCCCGTCACCAAAGCCTCCCTAGGAGAGGGTAAGCCACTGGTTGGTATTTTGGGGCAGCAAAGGCAGTGTGTTTTCAGCTTAAACAGAAGGTTAGGAGCTCAATAGATTTCTGGCAGATCAAATGGAATTTTTTCTACTTGTATTTTTAAAAGGGATAAAACATGAGGAAATGTACATGTACTGCAAAGATGCACTGAATGATTTGTTTCTTCCTACCAAACAATGTATCATGCGAACAGTGAATTGGAGCTTGGAGACCTTCCCTTCCCTTAAGACTCCTAATTGGTTAGAGAGGCCTAAACATTGCACTACAGAATGCAGCAGGGGTGTGCAAGAGCGCCAGGACCAGGATTCAAGTTGCCATTAGGCTAGAAAGCATCATGGGATTTGGGGCTCCATCGATGCTCTACAAGGGAAGCCAACATTGGTGTAGGTAACACTAGGCACCTGGTTTAAACTTTGTCTGGCAGTTTACCTACCTGACAGTAAGGACAGGTTCACTTTAAAGAGGAACTCTACCCACTGATTTTAAATATCCCAAGACAGTTACTTTTAAGGCATGAAAAACTATCAAGGTTGCCAGCGTGCTTATTTCAGCTCTCATCCGCACTTTCAAGCCCTGAAATGGCTGGTGGCATAGCTGATCACATGTGCAGCACCTTGGCAACTGCAATCCAAATAGAGGGTAAGATGGCACCTTCCTTGGCTGTAAGGGATAGGAGGGTGTAGTTCCGCTTTAAGCTTTGGCTCAGGTTCTTCTGTAGTGCTGTAACCACACTAATACTAATTATGCAAATGCTTTTCCCGTTGAACAGATAATCTCTACCCTTTAGACTAGAATGTAGACTGCACCATTAGGCCTTGTTCACACCATATGCAGTGCGTTCCGGCCCCATTCTGGCCGGAACGCACTGCCTCTCATTGCGGCCGGCTCACTTTTTCGTGACGGGCCATTGAAGTGAATGGCACCGTAGCCACGCCCTCAGGCTGCTGCAAGCACTATTTTGATAGCACTGGACTGCAGGCACAATGTGTCTTGCGATCCCGTGCGGGCAATCGCATTGTGGCCTGAGGGCGTGGCTATGGTGCCATTCACTTTAATGGCCCACCACTCCCCCTCTTGCCCAACAAAAAAGTGAGCCAGCCGCAATGCGAGGCAGTGCGTTCCGGCCAGAATCGGGCCGGAGCGCACTGCATATGGTGTGAACGAGGCCTAAGACAGGACTGGTGCAGCCTGCATTTTTTTCACTAGTCAAGAGACCCCCTTTAAAAGACATTTGTACCTGTGGTCTCCGTATGGTCACCATGGAGTAAAAGCACTGTGAAGTGACAGCACCTTACAGGCCATTTCACTGGTTTTAGTTTAGCATTTAAGATGTGTAACCATCCATGGAAATGAAGGGTACAGTTCCCAGAAAATGTACAAACTCAACTCCTGCCAACATATGAGCATAAAATGGGCCTACATGGAAATTCCTACTCCACTATTATCTGAGAGAATACAACAGACAACAGTCCAAATTGGAGGCCGGCAAGTGCTAATCTCACATGAAGTGGGTCCATCCACAGAACGTTTCATTGAGCAGGAGACTCTTCTGTAAGTTTCAATGTCCAAAAAAGACGAATGAAATAAATACAAGTTCCAAGTCCAGATCTCTGCGTAGGATCTGTAGTCCGTCTGTACAGATATTTACATGAAGGCGAACGCACACGTAGAGCCTCAACATGACAAACTTTGCATCTCTGTCTGGGATTCCAAGGTCTCTGAGATGTCTTCAAGTTCGTCCAAAACTTCACTGAATGACGGTCTCTTAAATGCGTCCATCTGTAGAAAAAGAGAGGAAACCTGATTTATTGAACCCGAATGGCTGCCAAACCCCAATATACAGCAACAGCCAATAGAAATGACTCGTCTACAGACACACTATCAGTACACTAAAATATGATTGGTTGCCCTGTGTTTAAGGCTCTGGAAAACACGGGGAAACCACAGTTTTCTCCACCACTGTGAGACAAAGTATGCTCACTCACAATGACAATTCAGAGGAAATCTCTTAAACCCTAACCGGGAGAATTTTAGTTTGCGAAAGCATCTATTATTATTATTATTATTATTA